ATTATGGTGTTTTTAGGTCCATACTATTTTAAATGCTAATGTGAGACATATTGCTTTGAAGTTGTTTTGTTTCAGAGTGATCTAGTGCTTCTATCCTTACTCTGAATTGTGGTTTTTTATGTTATCAGCTATAATTGATGCTACTGCCGTCTGCTTTCATCTTCTAGTAATCTGATGATCTGTCTGCTTTGACAATGCTTATTCTATCGTATCATAATTGCTTGTTTTGGCTTTATTTACCTCTGTTGTTCCTACTGCTGGAAATTCCATGTTACTGCTGCATTTATACTGATTTAGATGCTCCATGTTGCACTCTGCTCTGCCCTTTACTCTGTTTTTGCTTTACCTCGTATCATAATTGCATTCTTTTCGATCTTTGCTGACTTATAATGACTTTGACTCTTTAAGTTTTCTGAGGATAGATAAAATGGCTTGCAATACCAATCGATCAAATTAAGAAAGTCTCTCCACATCTTATAATCAACGTTAATCCATTAGTATGGTATAACTTTCTTAGTATACAAGATTAAAAACATGTGCTAAAACAATTTATTTGATGTTGTCAGAAAAATAAAAGAAATCCAGAACGACACACTATAATTATTATGTAAAAAAGGGAAACTAGTATTAATGCATAAAGAATTACTTATTATAAACACAGGATTGAGATCCTCTCATTTTCCTACTATCATGATTATTAAATTTAAATGATTGAATTTAAATTGAATGGTAATGATATATATATATATATATATGATTAAAAAAAAACAACTTTAACTCCTTAATATTTTATTTCTCTCATCTAATCTAAATCATTAAATTCAAAATAAATGATGAAATTTAGAACATAACCAGTCATTATTTTTTAAGAGCATAAGAGGATCTAAATCCACAAACACAAGTTGTTACGCAATAAGAAACACTTCTAACAATCTTAAAAACAAAAAGAAACTTATGCTAATGAGCTGCAGCTCAACTGACATTAGCGTCTCCCCTCTCATCAAGACATCAAGAGATCTTGTGAGATAGATATTCTTAAATTATCACCACGTTTACTTCAGCCATGATATCCTTTCGTAACAGTAGAATCCCCTCCAATTCCATTGCAACTTCTTTCATTGTTGGTCGGTTTCTTCCATTCAAATTCAAACATCTCTTTGCAAGATTAGCTATATCAACAGCTTCCTCTTCAGTACAATCCTCCAATACTTGAGCATCAAGAACATCAAAAAGTCTATTTCCTTCCATTAAATCAATGAAGTGCGTAGCTAAGCTCATGTTTTCTTGCGAGTGGCTCAAGAAAATCGGTTTTTGTCCACTTAAGAGCTCGACAAGAACTACTCCAAAACTATAAACGTCACTCTTGTCTGTAAATTGGCTAGACTGAAAATACTCTGGATCCAAGTAGCCAAAAGTACCTTGCACACGAGTGGTCAGATGAGTTTGATCAATGGAGATTGATCTTGAAGTTCCAAAATCTGATACTTTAGCTCTATATTTCTCATCTAAGAGTATGTTTGTGGACTTAATGTCGCGATGATAAATCGGAATAGATGCTGCAGAATGCAGATAGGATATTGCACCAGCAACTTCTGCGGCAATTTGTAGTCTTGCTTCCCATGATAATGGGAAGTCCTTGTTTTGGTTATGAAGATATTGGAAAAGAGTTCCATTAGTAATGAATTCATAGACCAGCAAAGGAACTTCAGTCTCCAAGCAACATCCCAGTAGCCCAACCACATTTCTGTGATTGATTTGAGAAAGAATGACAACCTCATTGATGAATTCTTCCAACTTTTCTTCATCTACTAGTATGGACTTCTTAACTGCAACAATGCTCCCATCTGCCAACATTCCTTTATAGACGGTGCCTTGGCCGCCTTGACCAAGTATTCTGGTCTCACTAAAACGATCGGTTGCCATTTCTAACTCTTTCGAACTGAATATTTTTGTCTTTTGAACACTACCCTCACTTGAGGATAATTGTTGTTGCAACAATAGACCACCATTCCTTTCGAAATACTTCTTTTTCAACTGGATGCATTTTCGTTTTTTGAGAAGTTTGTATGTCCACCAAGCACCAAAGAGCAATAACAATACTCCAAGCACCAGACCTACAACTGTATTAAGAAAAAAAGAAAAGGGTAAAAAAAAAAAAAAAAAAAAACCCTTAGCATGTGCATGGGATTGTTGGATTATTATAAGGGTTGCTAATATTATGTGTTTTCAGTATGATGTTTGATTATTTTGGATTGAAAAAGGTATTAGTCTTCTATTTTTTTCTGAGCTAGAAGAAAATAAAAAGTTTAGCATATGAACTTTCGTTCTATTTAAAATTGGTACCCGACAGTAAAAAAAAAGAAAAGAAAAGGGATAACTCCTATGTATCTTGTATCTTATATTTGCAGTTAAAAGTCATGTTTCCTTATGTTTCGTTTTTATTCAATTTCGCATATTTGAAAAAAAAAAAAAAAAAAGTAGGCCAAAGGAAGTCAATCAATCATGGCATTCAATTTTTGTCAATTTTATGCATCATATGACGGAGTAAATTATAAATTAATTCGTATGATTTTGAAAATTAAATTAATTAATTTTTTATTTTTTAAGAAATAGAAAGAAAAAATAAGTAAAAATATAAAAAAGATTGATGAAAAAATCTTGTAAAATAACAAAATGTTTTATTAATCATAATCAACTCTAGTTAGGACTAAATAATTAATTTTCAGAAAAAAAACTAATTAATTCGTTTATCAAAATTAAAAGAATTAATTTATAATTTACTCCTTATGATGGGACGATTGGCTTTTTATGGAACCGAAAAAGGAAAAAGAAAACAAGCGCTTTAACTTTTTGCTGTAAACACAAGGGAATTTGACTTGAAGCGATGTATCAAACAGATGAGAGAATGAAAAGGTGATCAATTGCCTTGATTTGGTACAGTTTCTCAATAACGAGAACAATTGACCAAAGGTAATTTATATTATTCTAATACATCTTTTCAAATAAATGCCTATTTGACGTTCAAACTTACACAAATTAATTTAATAAGAGATAATAAAAAATGATAATATTGTAAATTTATGATCATTTAATTATTAAAATTTTAATATTATGTTACATTTTAATTTAAAAATTTAAATATAAAATTATGTTCATGGTTTATGTTATTTCTTAATAATATATAAATGTACAAATAGAATACCTTTATACCTATCATGTAATATTGTATACCTTTCACACTCGTATACATCTAGAAGGATCCAGATGTACCTATATCAGGATCAAAGTTTAATCAAATAGCTTTAAAGGTGGTGATAATCTTATATAAATATCACTAATTACATATCCATACTACTCTGTGATCAAACAATTGTTACATATATAAGGTTAACGATTTATGTGATAGAGTATGAATAGAAATTTTGTTTTTGATGATTAATATAAATCGAATTTATATATTGAGCGAAATTATTTAATTTATATATATTTATTAACAAATATTTAATAATATTAGCATAAAAATTTGTATTTAAATAATTAAGAGGTTCTTTCAAAACATTATCTAACTTATTTTATTTTAAAAAATAAATTTTAAGATATGAAAAAATAAATAACAAATAATTGGTATTATGTGTGCATATACACACACACACACATACACACACTTAATAGATTCAAAATATATAGAAAAAATAGAAAAATGTACAAAAAAAAATCACCTAAAATTTATGAAATATATTGAAGTCAATGGATTAAAATAAAAACTACAATAAAATTGATTCTAATAAATTTTGAATAAAGAGTATATAGAATAAATAAAAAAATATACAAAAAAAATCCACCTAAATTGTATGACATATATATATTGAAGTCAATAGATTAAAATAAAAACTATAAGAAAATTAGTTATGATAAATTCTGAATAAATATATATATAAAAATTAAATAAAACTAGTGAATTTTATTAACCGATTATTAATTTTTTTAAAAAAAATTGAGTTAAACTATCTAAAACATACTTTTAGCTCTCTCGCTCTCTCTCTCTCTCTCTCTCTCTCTCTCTCTTTCTCTTTCATATATATATATATATAATCAGAATTTAAAAAAATAAAACACTCTTTTAAAAAGCATAAAAATAATTTATTGTATAAATTGAACATCGACATTCTAAAATTTTATTTCAAAATTTATATATTAAAAAGAAAATAAAATCATATCAAAAAATTAATTTGTTGAGAATTTTAATAAGAAACAAATAATTGAAGAAATAAATTTTAAACAATAAGAGTAATATAAATTTGTTGAGAATTTTAATAAGAAACAAATAATTGAAGAAATAAATTTTAAACAATAAGAGTAATATAATCATATATATATGTTCAAACTAAAATCTTAAAAAACATCATATATATTCTATCATTTTCAAACTCGTGTGTTAAATTAAAAAAAAATAATGATTTTTTTTTTATTTTTTACACTTAGTTTTATGATATATATATATATATATATATATATATGAAGAAAAAAAAAAGGCGAAAAAGAAGAAGAAGAAAGAGGTTAGCGTCTGGATGGGTTGAACTGCAGCCCAGGCATAATATATATATAATGAAAAAAGAAAAAGAAAAAAAAGGATGAAGGCTCGGTTGGGCTGAATAGCAGCCAAGGGCCGACTATTGTTCAACACCAAAAAAAAAAAAAAAAAAAAAATAATCAAACGAAAGAACTGGGATATAGTAAATAAACAGTAATCATTATTCATTTATCTCAGTTCTTTTAGTTTTTTAGGTAATATAAACATAGTGTTTACATTATTTTTAAATATATCATTTGATAAAGGGATCTTTATATTCGTCGTCATTCAATTAATTGGAAGACTATGGTGTTAAAAAAATTCATTTAATTTAAAATTTCATCTAAATCCGAACAATGCATATATAGATAAGCTATTGACAGTAAAAATATAAGAAATAAAATAAAAATGAGAAAAAATAGAGACATACCTAAAATGCTAATTCGAAATGCATCAAGCTCGCATTTGAATGATCCTTTTGTATTCGAGCATCTTGTCCATCGGTGGCAAACAGTTCCATTTTCACATTCATCAAAATCTATCATACAAAGAGACCAAAATAAATGAATAAATTCAAGCACACTCCTACCTATAAGCAAAAAGTTTCATTAACAAATAATCCAAATATGTTTATTACTGCTAGATTACTTGTCTCGGAGGAGGCAAATACAATTTATTTCTTATCTCTTATTCAGAACATCGAAAAGCACCCTAGTATGAATTCAGTAGATACAACCTACATGCCTTGTCAATTCAGTATCAAATACCTTCTCCTCCTTGTTGCAAGTCTATCATGTACCATGGTGCCAAGAAATTGGCACTAAAGCTAACGATTTAAACTTTCAGTTGGGGTTATGAGAAAATTAAAAAAAAAAAAAGTAACAGCAAGAATAACATTAATTGCAAAAGGCCTGTATATATAGTATTGCGGTGAAAAAGATACCTATGCATTCAAGGTAAGGGTTGCCGTCATAGCCGTTTGAGCAAGAACAACCGTAAGACGTAAAAGTCGTGCTATTTATGGGCTTAAAATAGCACCTCATGGTGACGTTGTCATATTTTAATATGCCCTTCGGTAGCATCCACATCAAGGATACCGGCATGCTTGTCAAATTCTTCATTTCTAGCTGACTCTTTATCATCTTGCCTTCAAACCAAGATAGGTCTGCTAAGAAGGCTTGGTTAGGCCCTTCAATTCTTTGTTTATATTCTTTGGGCTCTAAACTTGATTTAAAATCCTGAAGTTTGAAAGGAATGCTTATATCCGGACAATCTTCATTACCAGAACTGGCAAAGGTTTCTCGCCAATCAGAAATATTGGAAATACTGTCTAAGCAGATTGAGTCGCAGCCCATATGCTCAGATCCGTGACCAGTCCAAAACTTTGCTCGAGTATTGCAACCCACTGCAATGAAAGAATTGCCTGGGGAGAAGAAGAAAGGGGTTCCAGTCAAATTCAGGGGTGCACCTTCCTGGACACCAGAAGAATTGAACTTGGATATAACTGGTACTTTCACAACAACAGCACTGTTTGGAAGTGAAATTTCGAGCAACTCCATTCTAACTCTGCTTAAAAATGCTGTTGGCGGGTTGGAAGTTTCATCACATTCAATGTTAAAAGATTCCTCCATGTAGCAATCTTTTCCGATCCCGAAAGGGTATGGAATACTAATGTTTCCGCACATGTATTTTGTACAAGTAGAATTTGCTATACGAGCTGGTACAAATGCTGCAGCTGACTGAAACATTAGCAATAACAAGAAAGTAATTTGGGATTCAAGTTTCATAATCATACTACTGTTTTTTTTTTCTTTTGAGAGTTTCGAGTTCAACAGCGCTAATCGGTTTGAATGCTTTTATAAAGCAATGAGAAGTGTCCTTGGTATTTCTTTGCACCTTCATAAGCTTAAAACATCAAAAAACATATAAAGTTAACATTCTGCATTTAATTTTGGCAACTGCAGAATGCAGATCATGTTAGTGGCTTATGGCCTTCATTGGCTTAATTCTTTATATGCACTTGGCTTTTATGCGAATTTTTCTATTAGTTAAAAAAATATTTAATGGATCTTTAGAATATTCCATAAAAGATAGGATGTAGTCCTACTGTTTCACCAAATGTAAAATAATATAAGATGCATGTACGGTGTAGAAAACGAGAAATTTTATAATACACAAGGAGTAATTAGTGGCATGTATAGTAGTTATTCCTTAGGCTCACTTTGAGGAGAGAGATAGACATACAAAGAGAGAGAGAAAAAATAGGAGAGAAAAAATAAAAAAATTTTAGCAGACGTGGAAATCTTCTTATCAATTTTGGTGGGTATAGATGTAATTTTTCTTTTTTTATGTGTCTATCTCTCTCCTCAAAGTGGATACAAGGAGTAACTACCGTACATGCCACTAATTACTCCTTGTGTATTATAAAATTTTCGGTAGAAAACAATTCTATCATGGGTTACAGCTGCTTCTTTTTATTATTTTTAAAAATTAAAAAGCAAAAAGAGAAAGTAGCCATTAAGGAAACGGCTAGCCATGGTCGCTAGAGATAATATTATTAAATTGCATCTTCGTGAACAACGTGCCTTAACTAATTCTAAAGACCGGTTCTCGATTTGAATTAGAAATTCTAAATCTAAACACACTCAAAACCTCATTGAATACTTTATTTGTCAGAAACAGAATGCAACATAATATATATATATATATATATAGACACACTAATCAGTGGATAATGAACCGAATTACCATGACAAATCCACACCTGGGAAAAAGACACGAAGTCCTGGGGATTAGAATGCAAGCCATAATCACCGAGCAGCATTGTCTATCAGGTTATGCCATGGATCGGTAAGGTTACTCCTTCGGTACATGTACGCAGATTAGCTTTGCTAAGGAGGCAAGAATCTTTGTTAATGCTTACCGTTAATTTTATTCTAAATTGATCAGAAAGGGAACCAAACCCGATCATGGTTCTCCTTCCAGTTATTATGAAAGAGTATTCTTTGTGTGTGATAAAACATAAAAAAGAAAAGAATTGTATTAACTTGTGTGTCAGTTTACATTATAAGGAGTCCTATTCATATACAAGCATGAGGAGCTATAGATATTAAGCGAGAGATTTGAGCCAAAATAGGAGTCTAAATAAGGGACACAAATCGTTAAAGATTGTACACCCATGATTTCTGAATCACGAAGATTGAGCATATCATTAACATCCCCCTCAAACTCAAGGTAGAAAGAACTCGGACAGCCGAAGTTTGTAACACAAAATCGATGATTCGGATGAGCTTTGGTGAATATGTCTGCAGTTTGATTTTGAGAGGAGGCTGAAACAAGATGATAGTGCTCTGGCTAACATGATGGCATACAAAATAACAATTAATCTCAATATGTTTTGTACATTCATGAAAAATATTACTGCAAGCAATTTGCATAGCACTACGATTGTCACAATGAAGTGATGTAGTAGAAGGCTGTAACATGATGGTTGGTTGTGACAATGGAGTAATCACTTCGTACATGTATATTTTCCCAACAAACCTAGTTGTAAATTAACTTTGAAATTTTTGAACCGTTCCATGTTTTAATCATACTATTAAAATGGATGATTGACGTGATTTAGGAGAAGGGAGCTTTGATCCCTTTGCGAAGTCCAAGCTCCAAGGAACCTTCCCATAGACCCAAAAAAAAAAAAAAAATAAATAAATAAAGAAGGAAGTTTATATATTATCGATCATGTTTAACTAATTCATTGTGCGTTCCAAGCTGGTCCAATAAACTTTCCCATAGACAAATAATAACAACAAAAAAAAAGAAAATTTATTATACTATCATCAAGTTTAATTAAATCACTGCGTATGTAGAAAGTATAATAGATGGGAACCGGAAGACATTAATTGGAGAAGGTAAATAGATAAAAAAAAAAAAAAAAAGTAAAAAAAGAAAGAAAGAAAGAAAAATTGTGTTGAATATCCAGCACACCATAATTACTGCGTTCACATCTAGCATACTTTGAGATTATTGTGTTCACATTTAGCACATCATAAGTTTATTGATTTCACATGTTGTATGATTTTCATTTGTATCAATTTTTTCTTTGTCTTACAATTGGAAGACTAGTGCTTTGTGAAAAGATTCATAATTCGATGTGAACAGAGCATTAATTTTCTTTTGCCGCCACATGCATTTCGTTTAGACAAAATTTTTTCATTGACCGATTAATTTGGGAAGACGAGTGCTTTATGCATGGAAGAATACTCATAATTAGTAAACATAGTCTAAAAATTAAAGAAGCTATTCCTCCACTCCGCGGCCAGTCTATACCATTTAATTCACTGGAGGTTATGTGAAACGAAACCTCTTTTGTAATATGTTGCTTTAACTGTACAAGAATGAGAGAAGTACACACAGGATGCATGGATCGACTAGCCTTATTGACTTCACAACTCTGGTTTTGATATTTTGAGCTATGATATTTTTCTGTCTGGAATTTTCAGCATAGATTTGGAAAGACGATGCCTCATGGTATTATGAGTTTACATGTCTATAAAAACTGTTATCTAACAGGGGATTGAGTTTTCTAGTTTGGTGTGATTAATAGATGTGGAGTTTTAATATTTTTTTTGTGATTGATCTATGTTACGCTATATACTTTACAGCAAACCGGTAAAGGTGCGCGAAGTCTTGAAAAATTACATCTCTTTCTGACGAAAAGTTAATATTAGCTGGAGAAGTTATCTGAAGATGCAACAAGACTTGGAAATTGCATTTGTTGACTTGAAGGGGCAGAAAATTCGGATGCAACCTTGTATTACCATGTTTCTCTTGGACAAAACTAATTTCAGACACCAAAAGCGACAACCTTACCCAAATTGAATGCCCTTTAATCGGGCCCAGCAAACATCCGAACCTTACAAGCTGTGTCAGCAAATTCATGCTGAATTTGCTTCTCCATGTCGCAATCTGCTCTTCACCTTACTCTGTTTTAGCTTTACCTGCATTCTTTACAACTTTATGTTTCGTAGTTGGTGCCTTGGTCGATCACTGATCAGTGTAGTCTCTGGTTTAGATGAGTAATATGAGTTTTGATCTGTTATTCCATGGCTTAATTATTCTTAGGCTATAGTATGAAGTCAAGCTTTATCGCTGTATTTCCAAAAAAGCTCCATTGACGGATAATTCCATTGCCCTAACCGCAAACAAATAGAAAATCCCATCTAAAAACAATCAGTATCCCTATCAGAATTTATCTGCAGAATCTCATCAGCATGTTCACGCCAGAGGATTTGAGAGACCAAATACTTTTCCAAATAAATCTTTGCTAACAGATAATGGCTTTGAATTTTTAGAGTGTTCTCAAGATACAGAAATGGCTCAAATTATCAATTGATCAAAGAAGGTCTCTCCACATCTTATCAACAACACAAACGAATAGTATTGATACCCTTTCGTGACAATATAATCCCCTCCAATTCCGTTGCAACTTCTCTCATTGTCGGTCTGTTTCTTCCCTTGAAAATTTAAACATCTCTTTGCAAGATTAGCTATAACAATAGCTTCCTCTTCAGTGCAATGCTCCTTAACTTGAGCATCAAGAATGTCAAAGAGTCTATTTTTTTCCATCAAATCAATGAAATGGGTGGCTAAGCTCATGCGTTCTTGTGAATGGGTTAAAAAAATCGGTTTTTGCCCACTTAAGAACTCGACGAGAACTATTCCAAAACTATAAGCATCACTCTTTTCTGTAAATTGACTAGTTCGAAAATACTCTGGATCTACGTAGCCAAAAGTACCTAGCGCGCGAGTGGTTAGATGAGTTTGATCACTGGAGATTGATCTTGAAATTCCGAAACTGATACTTTTGCTCTATATTTGTCATCTAAGAGTATGTTCGTGGACTTAATGTCGCGACGATACAATCGGAATAGGGGCTGCTGAGTGAAGATAGGATATTGCTCCAGCAGCTTCTGTGGCATTTCGTAATCGCGTTTCCCATGATATGGAGAAGTCCTCGTTTTGTTCATGAAGATATTGGGAAAGAGTTCCATTGGGAATGATTTCATAGACTAATAGAGGAACTTCAGTCTCCAAGCAACATCCTAGTAGCTTAACCACATTTCTGTGAAAGAATGACTACCTCATTAATAAATTCCTCCAGTTTTTCCTCATCTACCGTCATGGATTTCTTAACCGCAACAATTCTTCCATCTGCTAACATTCCTTTGTAAACGGTGCCTTGGCCACCTTGACCAAGTATTCTGTTCACACTAAAATCATAACAGTTCTATTCTTTGACACTAAGGAGATGGCAGACCAGAGGGTATTATTATATATTGCATCTTCGTGAATAACGTGCCTTCACTCGACAATGGTGGCCCACATTCTTTGACACTAAAATCATATTCTCTTGTTTTGCCTCCTTCGAAGACCTTATAACTTCTTCGTCATAGGTCATGCTATTGCGGCAATTTCTTCATCACTCGTCAACTTGTTTGATATCAACGAAAAGTTGATTTAAAATGATTAGAAATCATTTCCAACCATTTGGTGATTCAGCGCATGGATCTCATTAGGATCCTTACATGCATGTTTCCAATTTTAGCATTTATCTTCTTGGGCTTTATTTCTATAGTTTTATTATGAACATTAAAGGATTCTAGTTTTCTTGGCTCCCATAAATTCAGGAAGAGGCGGGGTTAGAATTTGTAGTTAAGGGAGACAAAAATAATGATAATATTTCAATAGATAATATTACACATAGTATTACTTTATTATATATTAATGAATTTAA